GATAAATACCAGGCACACACACACACACACACACACACACACACAAGTAGAAGAAAATGCCAACATTGGCCAACAAATATTGTAATTAATAAACAAATGCATAACATTTTAAACATCTATGCCAACTTGCCCAATCTGACATTCATGAAATATACACACACACACACACACACACACACACACACACACACAAGTAGAAGAAAATGCCAACATTGGCCAACAAATATTGTAATTAATAAACAAATGCATAACATTTTAAACATATATGCCAACTTGCCCAATCTGACATTCATGAAATATTCTCAAGCACACAGTCCAACCTTTTAGGTAAAATCTTAATATACATTTGACTGGTGTCTTTGTGTATGCCAGTGTGATTTTATTTTTCTCATTTGGTTGCGCAACTGCTGCTGCAAAACTATGATTATATTGATTTTTAAGATAGGAGAATGCAATTTAGGAGGATTCAATTCACAAAATGACTGTTATTTAAGAGGGTTTTGAATCAACATACAAAAAGCCTGCTGAGGGGAAAACACAAAACAGCCATTTGGACTCAAAAACTTAATAGGTTATGTGTAAACCAATAAGTAAAGTAAAGGTAAAGGCTTATTAAATCAATGCTTTTTAACTGGCCAGTGAAAGGTCTTAAATAGTAGATGCATATATCTTAGAATTTATAGCCCCACAGCCAAGGCAATAGTGTTTTGCCGCCATCTGGGGTCTATTAAGGGTCGTTGCAGTTGCCAGTGCATTTCTGTACTCCAGTCCTGCAGGCGGCAGTAAGTGACTGTTTCCTGTAAGACGACATTCTACTGGTGACTCTGTAAAAGCACAGCAGAGTTAGGCTTGGGAATTCTTAAAGCATGTTGACATTATTAAGTGTTTAAACGCTGTTTTGGCTACAGTCCGCTGATACAGCAGCGCTGTTTATGACTGGTTTAAAGTGTTGGATTGGCGAAAAACATGACAGCCAATGAAGACCAGGAGGTGAGAGAGATACAGCTAAAGCTAACACACATGAGCTAAAGATGGCCGTTTAAATACAGTGTGGAGGTTTTATGAAGGCTGTCACTGTGTATTCTAACCTAATCACATACTTAATGAACTTCATGTTTATACCCACGTTTGGTTCTGAAATGTAATATTTAACACTATACAAAAATTACAGTGGTTGTATCATGGTACAGTGATATACTTGAAATACACCACGGTATATGTCCAAAACATGGTAATACCATAGTGTTGTGATAATCTGAAGTGTTTATGTGCAGATGGAGTTGGAGGCTCTGCGCTCTATCTATGAAGGAGATGACCGCTTTAAAGAGCTCAGCCCTGTTTCCTTTCAGTTCAGGGTAAGAACTGCTTCTCAACACAAATACTTCAAAAATGTAATAAAAACACCAAATACTGTTCACTTTGGCTTACAGAGATGTTTTATTTAAGGCATACAGATACTGGGACTATTTACATTACACATCATATATTGTAGTATTCAGATGAAACATCTCCAAAGGTTTGTGGTAATGCCATGGTTTGTGTCGGAACGGTGTCTTTTCCTTTGTTTATTTGTAGATAGGAGATCTTGAGGACTCCAAATCCTTCCTGCTAGAAGTGGCATGGCCAGAGAACTATCCTGAAACTGCCCCGCACATATCATTAGAGACTTTTTTCAACAACAGAATGCAAGTTGTTCGCTGTATTATTGTGTTGGCTTTTAACTGTGGCTTTCCTGGCTGAAATGTTCTAACCTAAGTTCATAGATTGTCCTTGACCTAGATGTGTTGGATTTTTTAGCAGTAGGAATGTTATATTTTTAATATGCACAATCGTTAGCCACCTTATTTTTCCCGTAATGGTGGGAGTGGCCATTTGTAAATTTAATGGGTCTAAATTTAAAAAAGGACTGACCCCAAACTTTTGAATAGTTGTGTCAATTGTATTAGATTTATATAGAATACTGTATGCCATTAGGTTTAACAGGATTTTAAAAAATCAAACATCTATTTTTAGATCCCTGGAGACAAAGCAGTACATTCTTTCCAAAATGAGTGAACAGGTAGAGGCCAACCTGGGTACTGCCATGATGTACACGCTCTTTGAGTGGGCCAAAGAGAACCAGGAAACCCTCATGGAAAACCATCAGCCTGTGTATAAACACTGTTTATAGTTTTTAAAAACTGTAAACCATTGTACGACAGCGTCACAAAGAAACACTGCTACTACAAAGTTTGTGGTCAGTTTTAAAAAAAAGAAGAAATTAATACTTTCATTAAGCATGCATTCATTAAATTTGAATAAATTACATTAAAAAAATTACAATAGAAAACAGTTGTTTTAAATGTAATTATTTTTCTCAATATTACTTCTATTGTATTTTTGATCCGACAAATGCAGCCTTGTTGAGCATAAGATACTTTTTTCAGGAGCTCTTAAAAACCACAAACCTTTGAAGGGTAGTGCAAGCTTATAATCTGTTTAAATATTTCTTGTTTTCTTTCTTTTTTTTATAGCTGAGCAAAACTGGAGGAAAAGGTGAAGATTAAAGAGATGCTTGAGAAGAAACGATGGATTGAAATGTATGGATGAAATGTGTCTCTGTGCACTTTTTTTTTTCTTCAATGAAAGCTGAACACAAATTGTCTGCAGCCATGATTTCAATTCACCTGGAGCTGCCACAGAGCTGATTTGACACTGAGTGCAAGGAGCTTTGCCATTACAGAGACACGTGTCCTCAGAGCCACACTAGTGTGTGCTAAATTAGGTGTGTGATAAGAAAACTAACACAGGTTTAAATGCTTGTATTTTTGGATCTGGTAGAACAGTTGGGTGTGACTTAATAAACCTAACAGCAGTGTTATGTTTCATCTAGTGACAATTCCTTTTAAAAATTGTATCATGGGTAGTTTAAAGGTGCAATCAGATAAGTGCTGTCGGGTTACTGAAATAAAACAAGTATTATTTCGCTGGTCATGTGATCTCAACATGGCAACCCTCATTAGGTCTCCCGCTCCATGTCAAATTAAAACGGCTAAATAAATTTATTTAGTGGTAAGAAAAAAGTGGACTTTTAAGTGTTACATTTTGATGTTATACGTGAAAGATATTTTATAGGGTTGTGTTTTTAAAGAAATAAAGTGTTTTAAAGCACAGTCCTTAAAAACAGTGCCACTCTTGTTTAACGTGAAAACATTGTATGAAATATGTCACCATAGTGTAATATGGATCTGGATCAGAAAGGTTGTTGAAGCTCCAGGTTTTGACTAGTATTAGTGAAGGCGAGAAACATTTGAGATGATAGATCGTGTGGTCAAACTGTTAATCTCGTGTTTGAAGTTTTTGCCTTACCCATTTAAGGCAAAAAAAAAAAAGAGTACACAGAAGTGAGACCTATCAAGTGTAAAATATATGTAGAAAGTTTTGTCTATTTTAATTTTATTAATACATTTGTGTGTTTTCGATTGTCACTGTCATTTAACACTTTCGGAAAGAGATAATCAGAACACAGCAAGCATCATTACAAACATAAACTACTTTTTATTAAAAAAGCAGTGATCAGTAGAACAGTGAACATATCTAGCAATGATCTCCTATCACCTATTTAAAAAAATCGTTAATAATAAGTACAGATTATTTTAAATATTAACACAATTACATATTCTGAAAAGAATGAAAAGGGAAATTGTCTTCCCATTCCCCCAAAACAAACTCAAGATGATAATATTTTGGATTGTACTGAAGGGCTACAATGTAAAGAATTTCTCAATAAAATTTAATAGTTTTTTTTTTTCAATAGCATTAAAGATTCTGGCAGTGATTTCCATTTCCAGCAAAAATAAGTTACATGTTAAAATACGCTTTGAAAACGTTTGTTTGTGAATACAGTAGTACACAAAATCACAACATACTCTATCAACTTGCTTCTGTACGCTATTTGCTGCGTGACTGCTAGAAGCTGCTGCTGTTTCGACTTTAGACTTAGACTTCCTCTGTTTCTAGCTGCTTGTACACGTGTAGAGGCGTGCTGCCCCCTGCAGGACTGGAGATGCACTGTCTGTACGCAAACTGACACCATTCTCCCATATGCACATACAGGACAATTTTGTTTGTACACGTAAAAACTTTACAAACGCTTTTTGTCCTGGGGATTTTTATGCTTTTGAATCCGAGTCGCACTTGTGATGCATCGCTATGAGGTACGGAGTTACAACTTTAAGAGTGGGATGTTCCTCACAGCAGTGATAAGAATGAGGAAACAGTAGCGGTGAATGTAAACGCAGCTCAAAGCTCACGAGTCTCTGGACACTACAGTCCGTGTCCGAGTTCATCCGTTGACGACGATCGCGGGTAACATGAGTGGGGCGATGCCAGCCTCCTTAGCACCCAGCACCACGCCACGTAAGTACCGGTACATACCCGCTTATTAAGACATGCGCAAGGGCAGATCGATTGATGAATGAGAAACACTCATTCATACTCGCCTGTATCATCAGTATGTTTGTGGCGCACTACGGTGAATGCGACGGGGCTTTTGTGCAAGGTGCGGCTGTCAGGCATAAAGTTATTGGCAGATGACCTGAGACCCAGCACGCGTTGATGCTGCCGTATATCGGATCGATATTTGGGAATTTGTTAGTCCATGGTCGTGCGAACAGATGCGTTGACTCCTACAGTCGTGGCCAGAAGTTTTGGCAGTGACATAAATGTTGTGTTTTGCAAAGTTTGCAGCTTAAGCTGATGTGGTTTTCATTCACATTGTTTCTAGATTATTATGTAGCGTGATCAGATGCATTTTAAATAATTGCTAAAAGCTTCATTGGCCAAAAAACAACAACGACGACAACAACAAATTTCAGTTTTTTTTTTTATCTTGACACAAAATGACCAGCAAACATTAATTGACTAATATCAGCAGCACATGTGGAAAGTGTGAATGAGTACTAGTCAGGTGAAATCACTATCATACTAATTAGATTGTAAGAGCAGACTGATTGCTATAAAAGGAGGGAAGAAACACTCCCAATCATTGTGTTTTTGTTAGAAATGGTTACCTCCAAAGAAACACTTGCAGCCATCATCGCTTTGCATTAAAATGGCTTCACATGCAAGAAAATTGCTACAAAGAATATTGCACCTGAAAGAAGCACTTCAAGGAGAGCGGTTCAATTGCAGTGAAGAAGTCTTCAGGACGTCCCAGAGTGTCCAGCAAGCGCCAGGACAGTCTTCTCCTGAGGAGTCAGCTATGGAATCGTGTCACTACCAATGCAGAGCTTGCTCAGGAATGGCAGCAGGTTGGTGTGTGATCGTCTGCACGCACAGTGAGGCCAAGACTTTTAGACAATGGCCTGGTGTCAAGAAGGGCAGCAAAGAAGCCACTTCTCTCCAAGAAAAACATCAAGGACAGACTGAGATTCTGCAGGAAGTACAAGGATTGGAGTGCAAAGTTATTTTCTCTGATGAAGCTCCCTTCTGACTGTTTGGGACATCTGGAAAATCTATTGTTCAGAGAAGAAAAGGTGAACGCTACCATGAGTCCTGTGACGTGCCAACAGTGAAGCATCCTGAGACCATCCATGTGTGGGGTTGCTTTTCAACCAAGGGAGTGGGCTCTCTCATAATTCTGCCCCAAAACACTGCCATGAGTAAAGAATGGTATCAAAACGTCCTGCAAAAGTGACTTCTTCCAACGATCCATGAGCAATTTGGTGATGATCCGTGCATTTTCCATCATCCGTGGCCAGGCAACTCCCTGGATCTCAATCCCATAGAGAACCTGTAGTCAGTCCTCAAAAGGCGAGTGGACAAGCAGAACCCCACAAATTGTGATCAACACCGAAAACTAATAAGGCAAGAATGGATCACCACCAGTCATGATTTGGCCCAGAAGCGTATTGCAGAGGTTATGAAGAACAAGGGTCAACACTGTAAATATTGACTC